CCTCCCTCCCTCCTTTTTTTTCATTTCTGTTGTGGGCACATCTCATGCTGGCCACCACCAGAGTGTTTGCCAAGCCAAAATTCCCCACCGGAGTATATTCCCCACGCATGTTAGGTCTGCCCAGGCCCGGGATCCCGGTCCTGCTGCATGCCAAGGCTCTCCTCACCATCCATGCAGCACAGAACTCCCTGTGGGATAGCACCCGGAGAGCCAAGGAGCCGGGTGCCAGCAGAGCCACCCAAGGAGCTCACTGGGCTGCGGACGCTGCTGATGCTGCCCCAAGTCGCAGCCGAGTTGGGTGGTTTCACGCCAGCTCGGCGGTGCCCACGCGGRAGCGAGTGCCCTGTCAGTGCCTCCCAAATGAAATCAGTGGGTGCATTGAAAGGGAGCAGGGGGAAAAGTGACAGAAAGAGCAGTGTATGCATACGAGGCACGCTGGTGCTGTTGGGTGCKGGCATGTTATCTGTGTTGCGGAATACAGTACAAGTGCACGTGTGCTCTGAACATCAAAAGTCTTGACTGACCCTCTAATCAAAACTCAACAGCTTTACTATAGAGGCTTATGCATGCATTTTCCATGGTTAGTTAATGGAAATGACTTTGATTCATTGGAAATACAAGGCTGCGTTTATTCAGCTCCAGCCTCTGGGCTAAGGGGAAGGAGAACGCAGCGTTTGCAAGGGATTGCGGGTCGCGCTGGGCTTTCCAGCTGCACCCTGCACTGCTGCCTTACCACTGCACTAGATACTCTGCTGTGGATCACGCGCTTCTCCTCTGTTCGCCTGAGCGACGGGCCCAGCACGCCGTCATTACGGGAACGGGAGCTCTCTGCGTTAGGCAGTTGGCTCTCGCCGCCTGCGGGAGTGCAGCAAGTGCTCGCCGGGGTCATTAAATGCTTCCCCGTCGGCTGCGAAGCGCTTCGCACGCTGCGATAAGCGCGGCCAGTGCAGCAGAAGTCACGCTGGGCCYGGTTCTGCTGGGCCGAGACTAGCGCGGAGCTGGAAACAATTAACCCCTCACATGAGGACATGATGCAAGGCAATATTGCTGCGCTAATAGCTCCACAAGCTGCTGTCTCCGMACAGGACATGCACTTCTGTCTTCCACAACAGGTTGTTTAGAGCTGATTTGGGCTCATTAAATAACCCTTGAAGCTGAAGAGGACAGAAATCCATTCGAGCTGCGCCTCTGTGTCTGCAGGCAGAACTGCAGAACTGGGTTCTGTCTTTCCAAGAAAGCGCACGGGCACCTCCAGGAAGAGGAGAGCAGATGCCACCCTCATGCAGCTCTTTCTGCTCTCAGCGCCTGCCCGACACTGTTAAGTGAGCAGGGCAGAGACAGCCTGCCAGGGTGGACAACGCTGCAGCACCCACGAGGAAGAGGAGCTCGGAGCATCCCGTCACCTAATCCAGGGTACAAACTGCACTGAACAATGTCCATAGGGGTAGTGGGGAGAGAAGGGAGAAGGCTGCTTCATCAATCCCTCATTTCCTCCCATTTTTTTCCTCAGAACCATGGAAAGGAGTAGTACAGGAAGTTTCTTGAGCTCTGAGTCAACTTTTTAACACATTTTTGTATTTCTCCGATGTGCCAGAAGAGGTGAAAAAGTATAGGTCTGGTCTATATTTTAAAATTTTAAAAGCTTTTTTTTTTTTTTTTTTTTTTAATGATGCGTTGCCTAGCCTGACATCACTCATAGGCAACCCATTAGCATGAGCAAGCTCATAAAGGGGTGCAAGTCAGTAAGGACTGAAATGATTGAAAAGACAACGGCATAACTATTGACAAACAGAGTAGGCAGCAAAAAAAATAAAACTTGTGAGACAAAGGTGGGTATTAACATTATGTCCTCACTCTGATCCCAAGGTCAGCATACTTAAATTTATCCAAGAAGTGACTGATCACAGTGCAGTGGTACCTCCTGTCTCCTCACAGGGCAAAAGGCTGCACACCTGGAGGTTCCTGGATCTCCATCAGCCCAAACAGGTTGGAGGGCTACAGGACTGTGTGGGTGGCTTATTCCTCAGGATCCTCATGGACGATCAGGCAGCTGGCTGGCTGCCAGAGCTGGCTTAAAAACCTCTCGCGTAGGCAAAATYGAGTTTTGCTGCTCAGAGCATGTGGATCCAGCGAGAGCCCCAAAGGCCCAGACCAACTTTCACACAAGGGGAGGGAGAGGGATGCCTCACAGAGGGATGCCCTTGGTAGCTGCTRTCACCACTGCACACACGGTGCTTTCATATAGCTCAAGCAGCGAGGGACAACAGTTTTGTCACTGCCCGCAATCCACGTGCTGACCTTGGGCTCACTTTGCCGGGCCAAGAGCCCTGCAGTGACTGAACTGCACGGAGTGACTGACCTGCTGCTCACTGAGGGCCAGGGGGGCTCCTGGGCAGCAGGGTGCTACACGTGGGAGACGCAGCACCAAGACCAAGGCAGCGTCACCTGCTCCCCAGCTCTGGACTTGGAGAAATTCTAGTCCCTGCAGGAAATGTGCAATTCAGAATGAGGAGAAAATGAAGAGAAACTAAGCTTTTTTTTTTTTTTTCCTTTTGGGTCTGTTTTTTTCTCTCTCTCCTCTCTCTCCCCCCCCATAGGAAGAGGTTCTTCAACAGTTGAAAGACCTTAAATGAAATGTTTAAGCAAGATATGCAATTGCTTAACCCAGCAGCTGATACTGCTGATGCAGGTGCTGCTGAGTGCTGGCTGTATTCGTAAGTTGTACAAAGAATCAGATTAACTGGCACTACCTTTTAAAGGTTTTATTTTTCAAGATTTCAAGATGRTCTTAAAGCCTCTGCACCTATTTTCAAATTTTCCGAAACGTAGCACGTACATTGCAGAGCCTCTAAGCAAACTTTGTGTTTCATGGCGAGAGGCAGAGGGAGTGGGAGGTGTTGCTCAACCAAAAACCGCGGCGTTAAGGCCTGCCCCTGCCTTCCGTCAGCAGCCGAAATCCCTGCCATGGGATAGCAGTGCTTTTCCCAGCCCTTGCTTACCCAGCCGCTGGGAGTTCCTGGCTTGGCACTGGAGACCTCACACTCCTCAGATGGGAATTGCACACAGGTGGTTTTCACGGGGCTGTTCCACATAGAAATTGCCTGTGTGGGTCACCTTTTTAACAGGTTTCCTTTCCAGTGAGAGACCGACTGCTCAAGGAGACTAGGAATTGGGGATTTTTCCTGCTGCAAACTCCTGTGCTGGAATTCTTTTAAATCCCATTAAGTGGCAGGTATCACTGAGGCTGGGCTCTATCCAGCCACAGGCAAAAATCCTTGTAACTTCAATGAAAATGGATTGCAAGACATTTGCAGGGAACCTTTAATACGTTGGCCTGGGGAGTACGTTTTCAGACCTGTTACACTGGACCCTTAACATAGCCAGGACTTGAGAAGGAAAACTGATTAAGGAGTTACGAAAATAATTGTTTTTCCTCTGAGAGGACATTTTCAGTAACACTTGTAACAGATGCCTGAGGCACTTGACAGCCGGTGTTTTTTATGCAGACAAGTAGTAACATGAAGGAGTTAGCAGCTTCATGAGCAGTCAAACTTAGGAAGTCTGATTCCCAATGGCTCTTTCCTGTGTTGATTTTCAGGTGTATAACTACATCATTGAGCATACATTAGGCTCTCATCAATGTCATTAATTTGGATGGCTCTGTTCTACTTGGCCATCTTTCCATCTTTCTTTTTTTTTTTGCAACACCTGGAGGAACTAGCTGGTTTTGAGACATTTATCCTCTTTCTCAGGATTGCTTGGAATTAGCTCACGTAGCCAGAAGTCCCTGGGGAGGGAATGACAGGCAGCAAAGAGCACAGTCACATGGATTTTATCATCTTTGGAATCCAGTGTCTGTGGCATGAGCTGTTTTTCCTCTACAACACTGTATATGGCTGCCAAGCTTATTGCAAAAAGATTGAGTGATGTAACTTGGCAACCCAGCACCACTGACAAGTGTCACATCCTATAGAGAAGAAATGCAGCAAAAGTGACTCATCTTTGCATCCAGAGTATGACTTAATTTTGGTT